ACAACTGGAGAGGCCTAACAATAGAAAAATATGATGGCACAACTGATCCCGGGGAACATTTGGATGTTTTCACAACTCAGGTCGGCCTGTATACAAAGAATGACTCCTTATAGTGCAGGATTTTACCTACTTGACTAAAAGAACCAGCTCTCACTTGGTTCACCCGACTCCCCCCTCATCTATTGACTCCTTCACAACCCTCACAAGACAGTTTAATTTGCAGTTCGCCATAAGTCGACCTCATCCCTTGACATCTCTGGCACTTGTCAACATTCGTTAAGAAAAAGGAAAATCCCTTCGAGCGTTCATGGAACGATTCGACAAAGCGACCCTTTCCATCCATAATCTAGAGCCTGCCATGGCCATGCACCACCTTACAACGGCTCTTATGCCCGGACCTTTCGTTAATAGCATTTTCAAAAAACCACCAGCTGACTTGGATGAATTGAGGAGTTGGGCTGCAAAATATATGCAGATGGAGGAGCTTCGAGAATACCACGAACCACTAGTCAGTTTTTTTGGGGAGCGGGTGGAAACCTGTGGATGTATTGATCTTTACACTTCATTCGAGTCAAAACACGAGGGAGAGCGTATCAAAGTCACTTACCTGGTGGTACACATGAATACCTCATACAAAATACTACTTGGTAGACCATCCCTTAACAAGTTGAAGGCCATAGTTTCTACTCCGCACTTGGCCATGAAGTTTCTGTCTGAAAGGGGTCGAATCGTTACAGTACATGCTGACCAGAAGACGGCCAGGAAATGCTACTTTGCAAGCTTACGTCTCAAGCCTTTCCATGGATGTAGCTGAGATGTCAACATTGTATCACCTAGGTTCGGAGAAGAATTGGATGTTGAACCCGATCCTAGAGTGGATGAGGGATGTCGGGTTGAGCCCAATGAAAACAAGCAACTTTTTCAGCTTGGACCAAAGGCTGAACAAGTCACTTATCTGGGAGTCGGTCTATCTGTACAAGAGAGGTAAGATCTTCAAAAAATTCTATAGTATAACGCTGATTTGTTTGCTTGGTCGGCTTTTGACATGCCAAGTATCGACCCGACATTTCTCTGTCATCACCTATCGATTTATAAGGGGGCCAAACCAATAGCACAAAAGGCAGTAGAAGAGGAGACTGGTAAGTTGCTACAAGCCGGTTTTATCTGAGAGGTCAGATATTCAACTTGGTTAGCCAATGTGGTCATGGTTAAAAAAACAAATGGTAAATGGTGAATGTGCACAGACATCACGGACCTTAACAAGGCATGCCTAAAGGACGCATACCTTCTACTAAATATTGATATCTTGGTAGACGGCGCAGCCGGCCACAGGATACTCAGTTTTTTGGATGCTTATTTTGGGTACAATCAAATCTGGATGTGTCCCCCAGATGAAGAGAAGACGACATTCATCACGAACTCAGCAAATTTTTATTATCGAGTAATGCCATTCGGCCTGAAAAATGCAGGGACGACGTATAAGAGATTGATGAATAAAATTTTTGAAAAACAAGTAGGGAAGTATATAGAGGTGTATGTAGACGACATGGTGGTTAAATCTATTACTTTTGAACATCCTCTTGCTCATTTAAAGGAGGTGTTCGGGGAACCCAAGCGACATGGGATGCGGTTTAACCTAGAGAAGTGTACATTCGACGTAGCTGGTGGCAAGTTCTTAGGGTTTATGTTATCCGAGAGAGGGATTCAGGCGAACCCTGACAATTGCCAAGCCATTATCGACATGACTAGTCCTCAAAATGTCAAGGAGGTTCAGAGACTTTCTAGGCGTATTGCTTCCCTTGCCAGATTTTTGCCCATTATGGCAGAGAGGTCTCGGCCTTTTATCGATTTGCTTAAAAAATCCCAAAAGTTTGCTTGGACTGACAAATGTGAAACGGCCTTTAGCCAGTATAAAAATATGTTGGCGGCACCGCCTGTGTTAACAAAACGGAAGCCCAAGAAAGATATAATTATTTACTTGGCTGTGTCAGAAAATGCCATCAGCTCGGTCTTACTACAAGAAACACCTGAACTCGTCCCTATCTACTTCGTCAGCCGGACACTCCAAGGTCCAGAATCCCATTATCAACTAATGGAAAAAGTGGTGTTAGCCCTAATTCATACAGCTCGGTGGTTAAGACATTATTTCTAAAGTCATCGGGTGGTGGTGCGAACCGATTGCCCAATGGCTAAAATTCTAAGGAAACCAGAGCTAGCTGGTCGGTTAGTAGCTTGGACAATCGAGTTGTCCCAATTTGATATTCATTTTGAAAACTGACGCCCCCTTAAAGCTCAAGTGCTAGCAGATTTTGTCAATGAGGGGTCGCATCCCTTCCAAACCGACATATCTCTTCTAAATCAAACGGTTGAGATCGAACACCCTTTCGTTTCGCACACACACATCGAGGAAACCTTAAAAAATCTCGAAACCTTAAAAAATTTGAAGTTCTAGAATGATCTTTTTTTTATTATTTATTTTATTTTTTATGCTTTTTTTAATTTTACCTCCTCGGTCTACACCACTTTTTTGATAAAACCGAATACCCCTTCGGTGCACACACCCCCTCATTTTTTATACTTGAACCGAATACCCTACTCGGCTTACTTATGTTTCTTAAACCGAACACTCCCTTCAGTATTCCTATCCATCCTACCAAACTGACTACCCCCTCGTCTACATGTTCTTGGCACCTGTATATTATTAAGCTTTTGCCTCGTACTTCTTCGGGCTTGGGGATTAGTGTACTGAATAGGGAACTGCTCGACCCTACATATAAAAAAAAAGAAACCGAGTATCTATTTAGTCCAGTTTGGCCGAATACCTTTTGTTAGAATTAGAAGGTAATTAACTCAATTAAGTATAATAATTGGGGCATTATGTACTTTAAAGTAAAGGGCCAAAACTCAAGGTTGACTCAGCAGGCTCGTTAGCCCATAACAATGCCTATAAAAGGAAGGTAAAAAGTACATGTAAATTGTTAACTTTTCATTATTAAATAGCATTTATTGCTCAGAACCAAATCTTGACTTCAGCATTGGAGTGCCTTTTGCAGGTACCTTTCCCACGTCAGCGACAGTCAGAAAGACGTCACTGTTTTAGAGTAGAGACTTGAAGACTAGTGTTTCCCTAACAGGAACAACATCTATTTTTTTAATGACGGTATAATATTTTAATGTGTTTATGTTAAAGTTATACTTATATTTTTTAAAATAATTACAGATCTAATAAATATTTTAATGACAGTATAATATATATATTTAAATTAAAATTTTATTTATTTATTTATTGGTCTTTTTTAAGATGCAACATATTATTAAATCTATTATTATCTTAATAAATATTATCTTAATTTTATTAATTCTATTATTATTACATTAACAAATAATTATTTCATATTTTAAAATTAATTTACTTCTTTAATTTAATTAGAGAATAATTATAAAAATTTATTCATGCATGTATTAGTATTAATATTATAAATTGTGATGATATTTGCTTATTTATTAATTAATATAATTCAACTATACACTTATAGAGTTTATCATAACTACTTTTATAATTAATATTTTATCATACAAATCATAAATTAACATTATGCTTACTTATTTATTAATAAATTTTTAAAAAATTGTAGGTGATAAATCAAATTAAATCATTAAACAAAAGTTTATGTATCCCGTAGAGTTCTTGAATACTTTAAATTTTAATGAATTTCCTTCCCATTGCTTGCAACTTAAAAAAGGAATGTCAATTATGCTACCTAAGAACATCAATCCCACATCAAGAATGTGCAATGGAACAAGACTCCTTATCAAGAACAATCATTAAATAATATTTGATTATATTTGTCAAAACTTATATTTAATCATGGTCAATTATATGTTGCAGTGTCTAAAATAATGTCAACAAAAGAAATAAAAATACTTATTGTTAAAGAAAATAACAAATATATAGAATATACAAAAAATATTATATATGAAAAAGTATTTCATAATTTTTCTCAGTGTAGTTATATTTAATATAATATTTTTTTTACTATATTTATATATTTTTATATTTAAATTATATATTTTATATTTTAAAATAAATTAATTTAATAAAAATAAAATAAACTCGTGCAACGCACGAACATATTTACTAATTATAAAATAATATGTAATGTAATATATTTAAATGCGTGTCATTTATTTATAATTAATGATAGAATTTTTTTTAAAAAATTTATAAAATTATAATTAATATCTTTTCAAAGAATTAGAGTTAAATTTAACTATATTTGTAAGAATTTCTAACTATGCTCATGCTACTTTGATACTTATTTCCATTCTTTCACTTTATACCTTCACTTCAAATTTATCTTTTACTAAAACAAGCTGTTATTATTAAATTGTTTTAAAATGTGTATTAAAAAAACCAATAAAAATTTATATATAATTTTTTTAATTAAAAATTACAAGATCTAATGTATTGATAATATTAAATACCATAATTTTTAATAAAAAAATATTACTTCTTAATTTTTTTTTACCTTTAAATACATATAAATTTTTTTTAAAAAAAAAGCAATATATCATAGTATTCCTAGAATTATAGGTAAAAATTAGTTTAATTTTTAAAATTATAAAAATATTATTTTAGTCTCTAAAATTATTAAATTAATATAATTTTAATTTTAATTATTATATTTTTAAAGGCTACAATGACTACCAATTTATATTTTCAAAGATTAAAATAAATGTTATTAATAATTTATGTATGAAAATGATATTTTTTAAAAATAAAACTAAATTAATTAATACTCGTTATTTTATGAACTAACATAATAATATATGATTAAAAGTAATATTAAATAAAAGAACCTTTATTTTGTACTTGGATTTGGGCACGGGACCCGACTCCCTTTCCTCTTGTTCCTTCAAATGCCCAAAACACACAACGCATTTGTGGTATCATTCATCACAGGCCATTAGCAACAGTAAGAGGTAGCGTTTCAAATTGAAAACTATATTAGAGAAGGGAGACACAACTTTTTTCACATAAAATTAAAAAAAGAACATGAATTCCACCCACCCACTATCACAACTCTATACACTCTGATTGATCTCTCTCTGCATAAACTTCTCCCTTCATTTTTTTAAGGTACTTTATATATTTATCACTGCCTCCTTTTCCTACTTTCGTATATTCTTTGAAATTTAGCCTAGCCAATGTCTATTTTATTGTGTCACATTTATTTTGCAGCCAATTTTGGTTCAAATTCTATGGTGTCTGACCTATCTCACCCTAGGATATATTGTGTGTACTTTATGGATATTATTATAATTTTATTTTTTTACCAGTAACCCAAAAAAAAATAAAATTATGTGCTAATAATGGCAGGAGGAAGACCTTCTATTAGGAATTGTTTTAAGAGTTGAGGATATAATTGATGCCCAATTTTATTCTAGTATGGTTCTGCAGTTTTTATTTTTTTGGTCAATAAATTTTGGGACATGCAAAACATGTTCCTGAATCTTGATCCTTATTCAGTCTTACTTGTATTGTGGATATGGTTAGGGTTTATCATCTTGTTAAGCACAATAATGCGGGGATTTAATTGGATTTTTAATTGGGTCTTTTGTAATTGAGGATTTAGGTTTCAATCTGGTTGGCTCTCTGTCGCTTTGGAAAAGCTTAAAGGTTGAAGCTTTTTCATGCTGCTTTAGACGGATTTATTGCCGTTGCGTATTTACCTCTGCTGGGAACTGAGATCCTTTGATTCTTAAAGGAGTGGTTAGGGTTTTGGGGGGATGAACTTACCCACCGCATAACACTTGTCAGATTGGATTTTAATGCAGTTGTCCATTGTTGATTAACATAAAATCCCCACGTTTACTCATTGGTGGGTTTGTTTTGGACTAACGAATTTCACACTAAAAAAGTGATGTTTCATGATATACATCGAAGGTTAAAATTGGAATCAAATCAATCGCCCCCTTTCTTACCCCCCAAATTAAAAAATAACACCCCAACAACAAAAATAAGAAATTAGCAACAAAAAAGTGAATATTTATATTTAAATGGAAATTACCATTTTTTAATGTGTCATATTTTAATTAGAGGACTAACAAGGGGATAGGTGATTTCCATCTGTTAAAATTTTCCAAAGCCTTGCCCAAGAGTCACAGTTCAAGTGCCACTAAGTCTCTGTGGGAACTATTTGATCCTGAGATCGAGTCTCACCCAGGAGGCTTTGCTTGAATTTTACCCTAACCTTTTCTCCCTAGACCAGGTATTAGACCTCCATTTTAACTATTTTAAAGAAATAAAAATTCTATAGTCGTGTTGTATATTTGGGAATGCATCTATTAATTCAACATTTCATAGTAATAACATTCCATTATGAAGTTAAGTGCGGTTATTGTCTTTTTAGAAACTAAAATAAAATAATAATTTTTTTTCAAATGATGCCTCCATTATTATTGACATTCATCAGTAAATGGTTTACTCTCCTTGGGGCAGTAAACATGACAATTAGATTGTTTTTGCTGGATCACATTCAGTTTTTGGTTTAGATATGCCAATCTGAACTGAACAAGTTGTTGAATCCACTGTACCCTGCGTGTGCAGGTCTCCACTTATTTGAGACCAAAAACTGTTGGGACGGCGGTATTCTTTTTAAACAGATTACTTAATTATACTCTTAGTTGTTATATAAATTTACGTTTTTCTGTATAGAGGTATACCTGATTTTTTTGTGTTGTCTTACTTATGGTTCTGTTTATGTATTTATTTTTCATTACTGGTTTGAACTTGTTCATTCTCATTTTATGAACTAATTGATTTGACTGTTTTTTTTATGCAGTTATAAAACCCCTATGAAGAGCTTTTTTAGTTTATGAAGAAATAATTTCTTTGTACTTACTAGTTATGAAGGTTGAACATGAAATTGAAATGATCTGACATGTCATGGAATTGCATTAATTGTTTGATATAAAAAGACGCAATTGTTAACATTTAAGAAGCAAGAAATGAGCACAGAGATGCACCTAAATTTATAGTGTCCCATTAAAATTTGAAGTGTTCTGACTTGGACACTGTTAAGATTCCTCATAGGAAGATGGTCAAGTATTTGTTACAAGACTTGGACAATCCTCTCATGTTGAGTTAACTTTTGGAGCTGAGTTAGGCTGAGGCCCAGTTTGGGTAAACTTCTAGTCCTAGATACTCATAGGAGAAGAAAATTAATGTAAAAAATGAATAAAACTTCTTTCATATGAGAGGTGTTTGATTTATTTTACTACTTAATTTTTAATTTCTATAAGTATTTATTGAAAAGTTTAACCAAACTGGACCTTAGTCTGTTTCTATTATGGTATTAGAGCTTATCCAATCCTTATGCTGACCTATTCATAGATGCCCAGTCTTGCAAAACATTGTGCTCTAGATATTCAGTTTTGGGTTGAAGGGAGTGTGTTAAGATCTCACGTTGGCTAGAAATATAGCCAAAGTACTCCTTGTAAGACTTCTCTCCCCTTGAGCTAGCTTTGGAGATTAAGCTAAGCTCAATCCATTACTTACTCAATTTATTTTTCTAAAAGTGACTCTGCTTCATAGATTAAATTAAAATCAATGTACTTTTGAAAGTATTTATTGTAAAAATTATAAAATCTTTTGAATTTGATGTTTCTTTTTTTGGGTTTGACTATTGCCATTGACGTGCTTATGCATAGCAGAATAAATATCTTGCCGTGGTTCACTATATCCCCTTTTGCTGCAGTCCTCTGCCTGAGAAGAATTAAGAATCCTATTAGATTCGTAACCCTTTCCTTCTGAAAGATATGTCGAGAGGTTAATTTCTGTTATTGATGATTGTTCAGGAACACTTAAAAACTGAAACCATATGTTTCTATCCAAATCAATTAACCTTGCTACTTCATATTAGAATCAGGTACCATAATGATCTTGATGAAATTACTTAGTCTTGAAGGTGAATTTTGATACTAATAATACAGAATTAGAGAACTGGATATTCAGTTCTATTTTAATTTATGTACTGGCATTTTGGCAGCTCTCAAACCTTTATACGAAATGGATATATTGTCTTTGCTCTAATGGTGCCAATTCATAAAGCCAGTAATTTAAGAAGGCAACTTGGATATGGTAACTCTTATTTCCAGTTTGATCAGGTTCGTGTTCCACTATATATTTGGGAAATCACTGAAATCCTAGAATGGATTTGTGTTAGTTCCAAGTGGTGCCTACCACTTTCTTTCTTGCTTGTAGTTTTGACCAACGCAAATGAGTTTCAGTTTTATTTTCTCCTAGTAAAGGAACATATATTTTGGTTTTCCTAGTTCTACGATATATTGCCTCGGAATATCAAATATTTGTTCTTTTATTTTTTTTTCTAAAATAATGTACTCTTTCCATTTCGTTTCAATATATTTTATTTCTTTTTCTCATTTTCTTTTACTAATCACTGTGTCTAACTCTACAATATTGTACTTTTTCATGGAATGAACTTTGACAGAACAGTGGTTGGATGAGAGTCATCAGTCATATCAAACATATCATACCATACTTCCTATTTTAAAGTTGTATTATGGAAGTACTTCCTTGTTCTGGTGTTCAGTATGCTGGGGAATCTGATTGCCCTCAGCCAAGTTCAGGAACAGCTCTTGTATACCAGGGAGAACCTAATTGCCCTGAAAATTGTGATCAGGTTAAATTGGAAGATGATCAAATGAGTGACTCATTGCTTATGGACGGGCCTCAAATAGAAAGAAAAAGTCAAGGACAACAGACTGCTTGTGAACTCTTGAATACAGATTGCCAATGCCGTGAAGCTTCATATTGTGACTGTCAAGTGGAAGGCCAGAAGGATTCCTATAGTTTCCACAATGTTGAAGATGATGAAATAAAGGAACCTTGCTTAACCTTTGAGAACTCTCTCTCTATTCCAGATACAATTGAAAGTGAATCACCAGACAATAGCGAGGAGCGAGAATTGTCATTTTCTGAGCCCACTTGGTTAACAGGGGACGAGCCTTTGGCATTGTGGGTCAAGGTATATGTGTTGTCAAATTTTGGTTTTTCTAATTTCTGTTGAGAGCTTTGCCGAATGGTTGTTTGCTATTCTCCCTACAATTAGAATATCTATTACTCACGATTCTGTCTGATGTAGCTTGTTTAACATTGTTGTATTTATTAATTTTAAAAACTATTATTGACTTCACTAATATTGCTTTATCACAAGATTATCTGTGCTTTGTTAGAAATTCTTCTCTTTATTGCAGATACCTCCTCTTACATATTTCATCCAACAACTTAAGAGGAAAGAAAATCAAAATTCAATGTTTCCTAATTTTCTGTGCTTCTAATTTCACTGTCATTTTTAGTGGAAAGGGAAGTGGCAGGCTGCTATCAAATGTGCAAGGGCTGACTGGCCATTATCAACTTTGAAAGCAAAACCAACTCACCACCAGAAGAAATATTTTGTCATATTTTTTCCCCACACAATGAATTATTCTTGGGCTGATATGCTACTTGTACGATCAATTAATGAGTTTCCCCAGGCCATTGCATATGAAACTCATCAGGCAGGATTGAAAATGGTAAAAGATTTGACTATTGCACGACGGTTTGTAATGCAAAAGCTAGCTATTGGAGTACTGACCATTGTTGATCAACTTCATCCTAGTGTATGTGATGGTGGTTCTATTTCTTCTTCACTCCTTGTTCCTGTAATCTATACTTTGTATTTTTTATATTTTACTGTTGGTGTTTTGATACATACAGGCCTTGATAGAAACTGCTCGTGATGTGATGGTTTGGAAGGAATTTGCTATGGAGATTTCTCATTGTAACAGTTATTCAGATTTTGGAAGAATGCTTCTAAAGCTACAAAATGTAAATTACAATTCCTGATGATAGTTTATGGAGTAGAGAGCTTATATTTTTTCAGTCTTTTAACATTGTTGGATTTTAAAATGTTTGAAATTAATGAAGCCATGCTTCTCTATTGGGTTCATATAGACTAGAAATCTCCATAAATATATTCACTGTGAAGCTTCTGCTAGCCTAACAAATGAGAGTGATTGATTTACATTGAGTTTCGCATTTATTATATATTTCCAAGTCAAATAAAATTGAAAGGCCACTTGATAACAAAGTAGTATTGGAACATTTGATTGAAAAAATTTCTGCAAACTTAAAAGGATAGGTTTCTGATGCTTTGGATGCTGCTTCACTGGTTAGATTTTGATAAACATTGAAATATGAAAAGTTGCAAACTAGACCTTGATGGTCATTTTTTTGCTCTTCTCTTACATGTGACTTTTTGCTCTTCTCTCATGGGTCCAAGAGCATACTTAGTATCACGTCTTAAAACTATTGGTGAATTATTATTTACTTTCAATGGTACATCATGTATTTCAAGATAGCACTATGAAATAAGCACCATTTTAGTTTTCATCTATAGATATTCTTAATCTTATTTTAATATGGTTTGCCTGATTTCTTATCAAGGGAAGACGGAAGGGACTGGCTTAGTATCTCTTTAATAAAGCATATTACCAATTCTATTGATTTCACATCTTCCACTTGGCTGAGCCCCTATTGCTGGTACATGGCAATTCATCAAGTTAAGCATATCATATTTGATTGAATTGAATTTCCAGCACTTCTAAGAAGTTGAATGCTGACACCTAATGTACACGATTAGGATAATAAGTGCTATTTATGTGGCTATATTGTAGTTTTAAAATTCACAGATCCTAGTATTTTCAGTTTTCATTAGATAAATACAATTAACATTGTTTCAATTAATATTTCTTAGTTTCAAGACTTAAGTAGTATAGCACATTTTTCTTTACAGAGCATAGTGAAGCACTACACAAATGCTGACTGGATACAAAATGCATCTTACTTTTGGGCTGAACAATGCCAGAATGCAAACAGTGCTGAATCAGTAGAGCTACTTAAGGAGGTACTTCATAATTTGATGACTTATTCAAGTATCTAGATAAAAGGACTATGAATTCATGTTTGAATGATCATCGATGCAACTGCCAATTTTCTTTTACTCGTAATGGGTGATAAACTTTGTTGAGATCCCACATTTGAATATGGATATGGTTAAAATAGAGTTTATAGAAGTTAAAGACAATCTTTACCTTACGAGCTAGCTTTGGTGTTTTAGTAGGCCATGCCCTGATTTAATATGGTATTAGAGCTCATCATAGATTTGATATTGGACCACTAATGATTGCAATAGAAAATCCTTGGCCCCATGGATTTTTTTTTTCAGTGTAATTAGCCTGGCCTCACGACTTTCCCAGTAAAAAAATTAGTCCTACAATTTTCATGCCTCAAATGTTCAAAGTGTCAAGGGGTGTATTGAGATCCAACATTGACTACCAATATGACCAAAAAGTATAGCTTGTTAAAGTTATGACAATTCTTATCTTACAAGTTAGCTTTTGGGTTTAAGTTATGGAAAACCCAAATTCCAAGAACTTAAAAGTAGAACAATAAAATTCTTAAGGCTTTATTTAGAAGTTTGGAGGGAGAGGAAAAGAAAGAGTTTGAAGTGTAAGGGAGAAAAGGAGAAGCAAGGAGGAGGGAAGGTTAATAAAAAATCTTCCAAATTGAAGGAATTTAAAAACATGGGCTTAGGAGGGTTTATTAAACCTCCTCTCTTATCTAAAACTCTCAAATAAGGGTTATCATCACATAAATCTTTCCTTTCCTTCCCTGTGCCCCCTAAAAAACTAACTCCCAGACAAAGTCTAAACTTCATGGGCATAGCTAAAGACTTAAGGTTTTAAGTGAAGCCTTGAGATTGATGTTTTTGTCTTTAACACAAGTCCTTAACTTTATATAAGATGTTAAGAAATTTGGGCCTAACTCACTCTCAAAAGTTAGCTCATAGGAGAATGATTACCTTAACCCTTATAAAGAGTATTCTAATTTTATCCCTAACCAATGTGGAACAACTTAACATAAGAGGATGGGAAACAACTAAGATTTAACTTCGGATGACTTATTCACGATGGTTCTAATACTATGTCCAAGACCAATTCTCCCAACTTCCAGCTTAAGCTATCTGGTGAGGACCAATATTGATTTTATATACAAAATAACATAAACAAAGTGGTATGAAAGAAATCTTTGTAGTCTTCAATGGAAATATACCTAGGAAATGGTTCATTTAACAAACAAATAGTGAGTGTTTACTTTCTAACTTAGTTTCAAAATGAATGGAGCAATTGAATAGCTTTTTTTTTTCTTGTGAGTTTTAATTGACTTGCAGTAAATTTACTTAATTATTAAAGCATTGAGTTTTTTTCACTTCCTACGATTAATTATTGGATCTAGTGCTGAATAGGGCCACCTTATACTAGACATTAGTATTCTTCCAAACTGTTAGTGTATCCAATTTCAGTTCACTCTCTCTCTCTCTCTATGCTCTTCCTCTCTCTATCTCTCTCTCTCCACATCGCTCTGCATGGTATCAAGAGCTACTTAGGGTTCTATTATCCCCATGCAGCAATTGTAGCTGCTGGTAGAATAAATAAATAAAATTATATTAAAAATCCCTAGTTGCTTCAGAAAAGGTCGACCAAGGCTATTGTGGGGGTGAAAATTTTGTTTTGTGGCCAAATATGCTGTAATTTGATTTTTCAAGCTGTAACACATTGTTTCTGCGGGGGTTTGCTGTTGTTTTGGAGTGGAATGTTTTTTGAGATTGGTGGAGTGCCCAGGTGGTTCCATGTAATGGCTTTTGAAACAATGCTACTTGAGATTTGGTTTCTCTTCCTAAAGGAAAACAGACTATTGGTTTTAAGTAGGTTTTTGTGGCTCACCTAAAGGCAGGTCTTATAGCAAAAAGGTATGCCCAAACATATGGAGTTAATTAGTTGATACTTCTCCTGTTCTTAGCTATTGTCTATTAGTATCTTTATCTTTTTGGCTGCCAAGCATAATTGGCCATTGAACCAACTTTATGTTAAAAATGCATTCTTACATAGTGATTTATAAGATGAAGTATATATTGAGAAACTTCCTAGGTTTGTTGCTTAGAGAGAGTATGGAAGTTGTGCGAATTAAAGAAGTCTTTGTATAACTTGAAACAATTACCTAGAATGTGGTTAGGGAGATTCAATGGCGTGATTATGGAATTTGAATTAGTGAGTAAGTGATCATTTAGTGTTTTATAAATAGAATAACCTTGGTTGCACTTTACTTGTTGCTAATGTTGGTGACATTGTTATTACATGTACTGATAGTGAAGGAATTAACTTGGGCATCCCAAAATGTATTTTGGGCATTAAAGTTATTATTCAAAGAAAGAGATCTTTCTTTTGTAGAGGAAGTATGTCTTGGACCTGTTAACCGGAACTGGCTTGAAGGTGACTAAAGTGTTTGAAACACCTGTGGAGCTAGGAGTGAAACTGACAGCAAATGGAGTTTCATTTTCTGATCCGTAGAAATACAAAAGATTGGTTGAGAAGTTGAATTATTTAATCCTCACTAGGCTGGCTATTTCTTTTTCAGTAAGTGTTGTAAGTCAATTTACATCCTCTTTGACTAACACACATGGGAAGCAATTATCCGCATTGTTTTGTACTTGAAGAAGGCTCCAAGAAAGTGCATTGTATACAAGGATCATGGGCATTTACATGTGGATGCATTTTTTGATGCTAACTCGACAGGATTTCCTATGGATCACAAGTCTACTATTGGATAGTGTGTTCTTAGGAGGTAATTTAATTTCCTAAAAAAGCAAGAAACAAAATGTGGTAGCCAAAACAAGTGCATAAGCAGAGTACAAGACTATGGTGCTGACAACTTGTGAGCTACTATGGGTTAAGCAAATCTTGGAGGAGATGAGATTTGGTAAGCTTTTGTTTACATCACATTGAATCTAGTTTTTCATGAAAGGACTAGGACAAAGCATATTGAAGTGGATTGTCACTTTGAGAAAGGTTCATAAGAATCTTCTATCTATCTCTTATGTTAGGACAAGTGATCATCTAGCAGATGTGTTTACAAAGGCATTAAATGAGACATGTAGTTATTTTATTTGTAACAAACTAGACATGATTAACATCTATGCTCCAACTTGAGGAAGGGTGTCATGAGTAATAGTATTAGGATTACGATATATATGTCAATGGAATTGATGAGCAAATTTTCTGGTCATTAAAACCAGCAAATTCACAGCTGGACATTTAATATGCAATTGTATTGTACAACTGTAACTGTTATTCTTTTCTTAATTAGGATTGTAACTGTTATTTTCTCCTTAATTAAATTGTAGGATAAATGTAAATATAGCCATTTAGCTAATTATTGGGCTGAAAATCAGCTTGTATTAAATAGTATATATATGAGAATTCTCCAGCAGGAGAAGACAGTTTTTCTGCCTACACTTCTCTAAGTTTGACATGGTATCAGTCTGGCTTACGATCCTAGCCTAGCCCTGTCCCTGTTTTTCCGATCATTGTCCTAGTCCAAGCTTTTACGATCCTTGTTTTTTTTCTCAATTCTATCCTAGTCCAGATTTGGTCCTTAGTTACCATTTCATTTTCTTTAGCATCATGTCTATTGAAAAGTATGACGTATTATTGGTCTGCCTAAATGGCAAGAACTACTCAGCATGGGCATTCCAATTCCAAATATTTGTCAAAGGAAGAGATCTTTGGGGTCATGTTGATGGTAGCACTCCTGCTCTTAACAAAGACCAACAGAAGGATGAACATCGCAAATGGGAAGTCAAGGATGCTCAAGTCATGGCGTGGCTCATAGGTTCTGTGGATCCAAACATTATCCAGAATTTACGACCTTTCAAGACTGCAGCAGAAATGTGGGCCTATTTGAAGAAAATCTATAGTCAGAATAAAACTGCAAGCAGATTTCAGCTTGAACATGACATCGCCATCTCTCAACAGGATAGTCTCTCCATTTCTGAATTTTACTCTCATTTCATGAATCTTTGGACAGATTACACTGACATAGTTTATGAAAATTTGACTTCTGATGGTCTTACTTCAGTGCAATCAATTCATGACACTACTAAACGAAATCAATTTCTTATGAAATTGAGATCCGATTTTGAAGGTGTCTGATCTAATCTCATGAATAGAGACCCTGTACCCTCACTAGATACATGCCTCAATGAATTGCTTCGTGAAGAACAGCGTCTTCTCACACAATCGACCATTGACCAACAAAGCTTCTCTACTGTCCCAGTGGCTTACGCAGCACAAGGAAAACCAAAAGGCCGTGATATGAGTGCTGTTCAATGCTACTGTTGCAAAGGATTTGGACATTATGCTTCACACTGTCCACAAAAATTCTGTAGTTATTGCAAAAAGGATGACTATATTATTAAAGAATGCCCAACAAGACCACCAAAGCGATCTGCAACAGCTTTTACAGCATTGGCTGGTTCCTCTACTTCTAGTAGTTCTACGAATACAGCCTCTGTCCAACATCCTGCTCCTGCTCCGGTTCCAACATTGACTCCTGAAATGGTTCAACAAATGATCATTTCCGCATTCTCTGCCTTGAGACTTTCAGATAAACCTTTTTCTACATCTTCACCTTGGTACTTTGATTCTGGGGCTTTCAACCATATGACCAACAATGCTCAGTTTCTTAGTAATATCACCAAATATTCTGAAAATCTCAAGATTCATACTGCTGATGGAAATCATTTACTTATCACAGCAACTGGTGATATTTCTTCATCTCTAACCGATGTTTTTGTCTCTCCTGGTTTGACTAATAACCTCATTTCTATTGGCAATTAGTTGACAATGGTTGTCTTGTAGAATTCTCAAAATCTGGTTATCTTGTGCAGGATCAACAATCAAGGAAGACAATCGCGACGGGGCCTAAAATTGGACGTCTTTTTCCACTTCATTTCCCTTTGTCTCCAAATCTTTCTTTACCTTTTGTTTCTTGTAATTCTGCTACTGT